GTGAGACCAGACGGGGCTGATCACTTAGGTATAAGACGTGTTAACAAAAGCGGTTAGTCACTCAGTGGTTGACATATTAATTATACTAAAGTTGGTTTTTCGCTTCCACATACGTAACAGGCCAAGCTATCCTTGGTTATTATGTATATAGCACAAAGAAAACTTAATTTCTCTTAAAATAGTCTCTAAAACGGACATATGGAATTTTTTTTATTCATGATATTTGGAATTAATCATTTCTTTCCATATTTTAATTATTTTAAAACATTAGGACCTGTAGTTCTTGATTAAGAAACAAAGAGAAATCAAGATGGTAGATTTGTGCTCTTGAAGGATGTTTAAGCCCCGGCAGGTGTGGCTCGGTGGTTAGGGCTTCGGCCCACACACCGGAGGGCCGCTGGTTCGATCCCAGGTCAAGGGCATGTTCCTGGGTTGCAGGTTCGATCCCCACCCTCGGTAGGCAACCAATTGATGTGTCTCTCTCTCCCTCCCCCCTCCCTGCCACTCTGTCTGGAAATCAATGGAAAATATATCCTCAGACGAGAATTTTTAAAAAACGAACGTTTAAACCAAAGATGAACACGTCTTCCTCACCTCCCTGAGTTTGGCTTCCTGCCCCGTAGGATGACAGCAGGACCTAAATTGCAATATTTGCATGAAATAAGTTGTCCAAAGTGCTTAACATTTAAGCTCACAAAATGCCCACTATTTTTGAAGTTTTAATTAAACGAAACTAACACATGAGTGAGATTTCATATGGTATGGGATCCCTTACTAAACTAGAATTAAATTTATTTTTCCCTTACTCTCTGGCCCACCCCAGTCGTCGGCTTTGATTTAATTACAGAAATCGGAAAGTTACCCTGCCTTTCGTGAGCGTGATCGCACGTTTTTGTCGTTAGACTCTTGCCTCAGAGTGACCTTGTAAAGGGAACTAGTATTACAAGAAGTGGTTTGGTTTTTTTTGTTTTTCTTTAAATCTCAGTGTCTGAACCCAGTGGGATGGGCTCTACTTTTGACTTGCCTCATACTGCATTTCTAAGGCCAGAAGGTGAGAAAAAGCTCATCGGTCGACTTTACGGTACCTGGAGAAATGCTGTGCGAAATCATCAAGCCGCCTCTTCTGGGGAGCAGTGATGCCAGCCCCCCTCTTTGGTCCCGGAGGCCCCTGTGAAGCTCTGCTAGATAGTGAGGGAAGAGTCCTTGGCCCGCCCCCTCTGGGTGTCCGAGGTGTGGCCAGCACAGCAGAAGCCAGCACCTCAGGGGAGTCAGTGCCACCTGCGTAGGCCTCAGGGCAGCACCGTGGCCGAGTGGCCACCTGTTGTACCCAGGTGGGTGCGTTCTCCCCTTAGACCTTGGCGGGACGACCCTTCCGGTCAGGGATGGGGTGTCCTGTGTGAGTCTGGGGGGTACAGGCACCCCTCCTTTCCATCCTGCCTCCCTCCTCATCAGCCTGAAGTTCGAGGCAGCAGCCCCGATGTTATGCCTGCTTGTTTCTAGCTCATTAATGGCACTGTAATTGGGCCCCTAATTTGTCAAGAGTGCCAATCCGTCTGATCCTCTAAACCTTAAGTGATGTAATTGGTGCCAGAGATTCGAGAGTGAGACCAAAAGGGGCGCGATGGTCTGAGGTTACTTGATGAACAATGGTGTGAGTGAGTTTTAATTTGGTCTTTGTTAGTGCCTGGTCTTGCTTTCCAATTGACGCTGCTCCTAGCGGTCGACAGTGCAGAGGGGCAATGAGGGGCTCGCAGGATACTGGGGGCTACTGGGCCTGGCGGTGTTATGAACTCCAGTCACAGCCTTCCCTGCCCGCATCACCTGTCATGTTTGAAAACAAATTTTGCAGCCCCCTCTCTCTGCTCCTTCATTGTTCTTTGGAAGCGCTTGGTTCACCTTTAGAAAAAGATGAATTAATTTGATTCCAAGCCCTTAGTGAGTTTTGTTTGTTTGTTTGTTTTTAACAAAAAGGATGAGATAACTGGCTATTGAAGGCTTGCCTAGAGCTTAGCTTTTTATAAGGGGGGAGGGGAATCAATGCTTGTGTATTGAGTTACTTGGAAGTTTTGACACGTGGGACAAGATTCCCTGTCCTCACACAAATGGGGAAACGACAGTTTGGTCTAAAAATGCCTCTTGGGGATGTTGGAGCCCAGCAGAGGAACCAACCAACCTCAGAGTGGACCTGGGTGCTGTGGGCGTTGCATGTGTAATAGCCGAATAAAGCTCCATGGAGACGACCTCTATCCTGGGGTGGCAGCACCTTGCTCAGCAAAAACTAGAGTTTCCTGGTGTGTTAATTTGCTAGGGCTGCTCTACCAAAGTACCACAGGTGAAGTGGCTTAAACCACAGGAGTTTATTGGCTCACACATCTGGAGGCTGGAAGTCCAAAATCAAGGTGCCAGCAGGGTTGGTTCCTTCTGGGGCTGTGGGGGTGTTTTCCAGGCTTCCCCCCTAGGCTTGTGGATGGCCATCTTCCCCGTGTCTCCTCGCATGGTCTTCACTCTACGCCTGTTTCGGTGGTACCCAAATTTTCCTTTTTTATGAGGACACCAGTCATATTGGATTAGGGCCCACCCTAATGACCTAACTTTAACTTCACCACCTCTCTGAAGACCTATCTCCAAATAAGATCATGTCCTGAAGTGGAGGAGCCAGGATCCAAACCAGCCTGTCTAGAGCCAGGACTCACGCCCCTCACAATTGCATCATTGTGAGGCAGGTTTGTCTGCAAATAAATCATGGAACCCTGGGCACCAGGGTGGCGAGGGATGACTTCCATTTTTCACGAGAAACCCTGCTGTGAGGGATAAGACTAAATGTAAAAAACAAAATAAAAGATGAAGGCATTGCTACTTTTACTCCTTAGATTTCATCAAAACACCCTGGCTCTTGGCCTGTCGGAACATCTGACTGAAATGAGACATTTCTTTTTATTTGCTTTTCTATCATTCAGTTTACATGTATTTGGAAGATTAAAAGTGCTAAAAAGAAAATGAGTTCAAGGTGAGATGATCTATATTAACCAGTTCTTAACCTATTTACAGAGCAGATATTTGTTAGTATATTTAAAAGTAAAACAATCCTGCCCTGGCCGGGTGGCTCAGTTGGCCAGAGCGTCGTTGAGTATGGGAGGCAACCGACCGAGGTTTCTCTCTCTCTCCCTTCCTCTCTCTCTAAAAAAAATCAATAAAAACATATCCTTGGGTGAAGATTAAAGAAAACAAAAAATAAAACAATCCTTTGGTCAACAATTAAAAATTCACTACTTTGTGTCAAAGTAAATCNCATATCCTTGAGTGAAGATTAAAGAAAACAAAAAATAAAACAATCCTTTGGTCAACAATTAAAAATTCACTACTTTGTGTCAAAGTAAATCTTTACATCTCAAGTTAGTTTCCTTTAACGCTTTACGTTTGCTCTGCAATCTGTCCTCACGGAGTGGACCAGCGAGTAGCATATCAGGGTCAGACAGTCACAAGTGTTTTAGAATTGAACAAACGTCTGTTGAGGGCCTACCATACGCAAGGCATAGTGTGAAGAGCTGTAAGAGGTTAAGAAATAATTTTTAAAATCAGGCCTTTGCCTTGAAGGATTTTATTTTCTAACAGAGGCAATAACACACACACGTAAATGGCCAACAGAAACTAAGATGTGGGCAGGAGGGGCTTTGAGAAGATTCTTCGGGCTGGAAATCAGGGATGAGCGTGTGAAGAAAGTAAGATTTCAGCTTGGGCCCTGGCTGGTTTGGCTCAGTGGTTAGAGCGTCGGACCGTGGATGGCAGGGTCCTGGGTTTGATTCCAGCCAAGGGCACGTTGCAGGCTCGATCCCCGGCCCTGGTCAGGCCAGTGTGGGAGGCAACCAACTGATGTGTCTCTGTCTCTCTGTCCCTTCTGCTCTCTCTGAAAAAGCAATGGAGAAGGTATCCTCGGGTGAAGATTAAAAAAAAAAAGATTTCAGCTCCAGCTCCAGGAAGGCAGACCCTGGACTCCTTACGGTGGTACCTGCTGCTTAGCGCAGGATCTGGGACATTACAGAAGCTTGTTAAAACAATTCAGTACTTTTCAAAGAAATGAGTACTTTGGAACTAGGTGATAAGATATGAGAAGTGGGAGTAGAGGTGAGGACGGCTACTCTCAATGGGACTTCGTGGAGCAAATATCCATTGTCCATTGATTCTAGGTGGGGCCTGGTGCTGGGTTGAGAGGACAGAGTGCCAAGGCCCGGAGACAGGAGAGCTTGGGGTGCAAAGTCCGCGGGGCAGTGAGGCTTCCCGGGCGTGGCAAGGGAGTGGAGATAAGGCCGGGAATAGGCCGGCCCGCACTGGAAAAACCATGTCCCGGGGAGTCCAAAGAGAAAGATCTCCAGGTCTTAAAATCTGTTTGTCACAGCGTGTCTCGGGATGAAAAGTGTAATTTCTGGGAGAGAAGGGAAAATAACATTAAGCAGCAGAGGATAAGGGCAGGCTTTTGATTCTATTTTAGTTGGTCTTGGAGCAACAAGAAGGACAAGTTTCCTTGAGTGTGTTGCATAGTTAACAACATGTAGGAGACCGAAGACGCAGCAGGTGAGGTCCTTGAAGGAGGCTGGTGAACATTCTCGGTTCTTTCTCCTTGAGGGATCTCGTATACTTGTAGCTTTGAATCAGAACCAGAAAGATTTTAGTATCTCGTCACACTGGCCTTTGCTAAAACACAGCTTTTCTGCCCACAGAATAGGAATGAAAATTATCCATATGACCTGTCATTTAAGACCCTTAAATGAGCGTGGGGGATGTGACTTGCGCGTTGCTGCGGGTGAGGTACTGTGACGCTTCCTGAAGACTCGGTGGTTCCGTGCAAGGCAAGACCGGCCTTTAGGGATCCTGCTCTACTATGTTCGTAACTGGGCATCATCCAACACTCTTTTCTGGCTGGAAAGACATGATTTTAACAGACTGGTTGCTAATCCCTTTGATCTCTGGTTTATTCGCAGGAGACCGGATAAAAGAAAACTACGATGGCACAGGCCCGTCTGAGCTGCTTGTGTCTCCTCACATTCTACTTGGTAAGGGAAGAAGCTGTTCTTCATTTATTTACTAAAATATTTTCCACCACCCTTCTGCCACATAGCAGGGAAACAATGATTATCACTTTTTAAAAAAGTCTTATCAAAATTAAATCTCAACAGATGAGACAAAGCAATAGAGATGAAGGCTTATAAGATGTATTGATTGTTTTAAAAATTAAATCTCGTGGAAAGGACACATAGCTTGCCCCAACATGATATTTTTGATGAAATGGCTGCAAGTCATGTGCCTGTAGTTTCTCTTCAGCTCTTAAAAGCCAGTAGCACTTGGGTGAGATTTAAAACAAACTGGCTACTCAGGTTTAGACCTCTGTGTAGAGCTAAAAGCATGCTGATACGGGTATTAGTCTAAGTCCCTTAATTGTGACCTTTTTTTTACCTTAACCATGAAAAATTACTACTAAAACACACAAAAAAGCATTTTATCTATTTTCAACACTGCTCTACTCTGTATTTTTCTTTCCATATATGATTTGGAGTTTTCTAGTTAAATTTGTCTTTAGCCATTTGTTGAGCAAAACCTATTATTGGCTGACAGGCTTCTAGAGGCTGGAGCTGGATGAAACCTGGAGAAATACAGCCCTCGATCTGATTGTACCCACGAGACTCACAAAAGTCACACGCTTGCCAGTTTGTTGTATTAGGAAGCAAGGTTATGGGGAAGCCATTGCTTTCTCTTTAGAAGGACGTTTCTAGATGCCCACACCTCAACTCTTGGTTCCCTTCTCCTATGACCCCAAAACAACATGGCAAATTTCAAGTCCCAGAGAGTTTCCTAGAGTTTTCCACACAGTTCAAAATATTTACAGAGTGAAACTTTTAAAACTGTCGTAGACCTCCTCCCAGCGTTGGGGATGGAGGAGCAGATAACCTGCAGTTCAGACTTCATGAGCAACGAGCATCCTCGAAGACCCCAAAGCTTGTTACGAGGACTGCTCGAACCCTGGGCCAAACATCCCTGCTTGACTTCTGTACTCTTCCTATCCTCGGAAATGCCCTTTACTGTCTATATTATCACAGGATTGTGGTGAAGTCAGACCTAGGTTCAAACTTGGCACCGGGACTTCCCAGTGATAGGAACATGGGTGAGTTGCTTAAGTGCTGAACCTCAGTCTTCTGCCCTATGAAATGGGTCTGTTAAGAGTGCCCGCCTTATAGAGTGCTGTGGCAATTAAATGAGCTAATGCATTTCGAGGCCCCTCAGACCAGCGACTGGCACAGCCTAGGTCCTCAGTGAGTATTAGCTGTCATTGCTGCCGTGTTTTAAATATGCAGTGTCCGCACGCGCGTGGACGCTGAACTCCACGAGGCAGAGACTGTGTTTTAGTCATCTTTGCAGCACATAGCACGGAGCCAGAAATAAGGTAAAAATTAAATACAGGGTTATGGGCCTATGTTAGGAAACAACGATGGATCTAAGAGAGAGAGAAGATTCTTCCACAGTAATCTGACATGAGGGCTCACCTGCTTTTTGTCTAAGAAGAGGACATGCGTTTTCCTCCCTGGATAAAAGCTGAAAAGTCCTTCCCTCCACTCTCCTTCCAGTGGGGGTTCTACCGACAGTGAGCGGCAACCACGTGGGCGCCGGGAACCTCGCGCAGGAGACGCCCCAAGCACAGCGGCCTCTGGTTGAAGGGGGAGGTTGCTGCGTGTGCGGGGTGGGGGGGTTTCAGGGTTGGTGGGTGCAGCCGCTTCTCTCTCCTGCCTCCACGCACCTTTGCTCCCAGGCCCTTCGCTGTGAGGAGTGGAATAGTCCAGCTGAAGCCTCTTGCCTTCGGCGTGAGGCTTTCTTCAGCAGAGAAAGCCGTCTAAAGGGGTTGCCAGTCACACATCCCATCCTGCACAGGGCTCTCTCATCGTTTTCTGAGAACTGGTTTTCACGAGGAGGTCGGAAACGCTGCATGAACACCCTGCAAGGGCACTGAAGAGACAGTGGGTCGCCAGGCTTTGGGAGGGGTGATGAATAGGAAGGGCGGAGGAATCAGGGAGGGCCCACCTACTTTAGAGTTTTGCCCTGGACTATGCTTCTTCGGGAAGGGAGAGTAATCTGGCATTAATACTATATAATCAATGCAGAGAACTCTTTCTGGGAAGTGCAATGAGGGTGGCTCCGAGGCAGCAGATCTGCCCATTGCACATGTCCTTTGATGGCCCGGAAGGCAGTGTAGCAACACGGTTCAGAGATGGGGCTTGGTGGTCCAGCAGGGCTGGCTCCAGCCCACTGCAGGGTATCAGTGTCTGAGCCGTGGGACTCCCCTGGAGACAGTTTCCTGGCTGATGTTGTGAGGACCCGACGAAATGATGTGTGTGGAGGGTCTAGTCCCACAGCTGCCACACAAGAACCACTCAAAACATGTCCGTTCCATTCCCTTCCCTACTTTTCACCTTTTTGTGCAAGATGGTGGATGTCACCCTCTCCACGTTGGTCTTTTTTTCATCAGGGAAACAAAAGCTTAACCAGAATCCCCCAGCAGACTTTCCCTTTTGCTTCATGAACCAGAACTGGTTCACTAGGGCCACCCTCCTAGCTGCAAGGGAGTCTGGAAAAGAGAACACACGACTTCCCAACGGAGGGAGGTTAACAATGGCGGGGGACAGCTTATCTTGCGTAAACCCGCTGGTCCTTTATTTCCACCTCGCTGTCCTTCCCAGTTCTGGGAGGATGGCCCAATGACTCAGAGTGTGCACATGGATTTTGAAATCTTTATAGCCCAGATAACTACGTTAATGGGCAGGAAGGAAGATCTGTTGCCCTGGTATAAGAACGCGACTTTGAACCTTGCACTGAGACATATCTTCCTTTCCTGATAGGTGAGCCGGCTTGTCCACATAGGAAAACCGCAGGCTGCTCTGTGAAGTTTGCCTGACTGATGTAGTTTTCCTCCAGATACCGTCACAGGTGTGATCAACTTTGAAAGGCTGATGGCTTGCTGGTGTGAATGGAAAGCTGACGAAGGCAGTTTTCTGTTAAGCAGGAGCCATAATGAAATTAGCAAGTGATACATTCACCATAGATGGTGATGCCAACTTTTCTTTTTTAACAGACAACTGGATACAGCCAAGAGGGGAAGTTTAGTGGACCCCTGAAGCCCATGACATTTTCTATTTTTGAAGGCCCAGGACCAAGTCAAATCATATTCCAGGTAATGACTCCATTTGGTCACTGCCATCTTGATTTCTCGTGCTCTCAGCTGACTTTTATTCCTTCCTTCTGTGCAGCATGAAATAGAATAGAGGCCTGGCAGATCTCACGATCAAGAATGATTTCAGGGCTAAGTTCAACAGAGAGGTGGTGGCCTCAGGACTGGAAGGCGTTGTCCCTGCCATCCTCAGTTGGACTTCCTCAATTGTGTCTGGGGCGAGTTCTCCCATCCGGGAGCAGAGGTCTTGGTGCCTGTGGGCTCTGCCCCGCCCCCCAGGGTGGGAAGAGTTTGGGGAGCGGGGTGGCCATCTGCCCCTCAGTCTGTTCAATGCGCTGGCTACTTGAAGCATTTGAAAATGGGGGTCTCTGGAGCAGTGCTGGAGCGGCGCCTCCATCTGGCCGAAGGCCTGCTTTTCTTCACCACCGCCTGGGAGCCCAGCCCTGGGCCCTTGCCTGTGGGTTGACTGCGGCACACTGGGAGGCAGGGATCTCCTTTAGTTAGGTGACTGGGAAAAGCATTAGATTAAGGGGTGGCCTGCAGGTGGGAGTGAGATCTCGCCTGTAAAGGGCTCTGAAATAATCCTGGAAATGTGACGGAGAGGGAGAGAACCGCACTACTGCACTGACCAGAAATCCCCTGGGGAAGCCCGCTCGGACTCAGAGCGGTTGAGGGCGCTTTGATAAGCCTCTGGGGGTGCCGTGACCTCCACTCCCCGAGACCCTGGAGAGCANCCTCGCCTCTTAAGGGCTCTGAAATAATCCTGGAAATGTGACGGAGAGGGAGAGAACCGCACTACTGCACTGACCAGAAATCCCCTGGGGAAGCCCGCTCGGACTCAGAGCGGTTGAGGGCGCTTTGATAAGCCTCTGGGGGTGCCGTGACCTCCACTCCCCGAGACCCTGGAGAGCAGAGAGGGTTGCTAGACTACCTCCCGAGGCAGCTGCCCTCCGTTGTTCGTTGGACAGTTCTGTTCCCAGGGAGAGGCTGAGAGCGGCCTGCTGCCCCTCCTCTCATTTGGTATCAGTGCAGATGAGTGCAGAGGGCCCAGGGTATGGCTGGCAAGGGTGCAAGTGTCTCTGTGCAGCCCTGCCGTGCAGCGTGTTGTAGGGGTCTTGGCCTCTCCAGCTGGGGGAGTCAGGCAGGGAGGGGGAGCGGATGCTTTGGGAGCTAAAGGCTCATTGGAATTCACTTGGAGAGTAAGGGAGAAAGGAGCGTTGCAGCCAAGGCACAGCGTGGACACCTGCCCCGTGGACACCTGCCCGGTGGACACCTGCCCGGTGCTGGGTGAGAGCAGCGCACACTCCCGGGGCTGGCGGGAGGCCGGGACTGGGGAGCAGGGAGCAAGGAGAAGAGAGGGGGAGAGGAGGCTGCAGACAGCGAGGGCCCTGGCTCCTAAGGCTCTTAGGTTTTCTCCCAAAAGCAATGGCCTAACTCGGGTTTCCATTCAGGAAAGACTGGTCTGCTGCAAACTGGAGGGAGGAGAGAGGGAACAGGGCAACGGCAGGGGCTCACACATGGGATCATCTCATTTACTTACTTTCCCTGCCTCGCCTGGGGGCACTCAGTTGTAGATTTTCTCACATCATTTTTTATTCCTTTCATTTATGTATTTTATGCTTCAAAACCTTTCCCTATTTTTCAATTGAGTTATTTGTCTTTTCACTCTAAAAACTCAGAACTTCTTAATTAACGATTGTACAAATGAATATATTACCTGAAATTGGTGACTTTCTACAAAACCTACAACATTGTTTTTCTTACAGCCTCGGCCTAATTTTTGCTTTTTCCCAGTTTAAGGCCAGTTCTCCTGCCGTGACTTTCAAACTAACTGGGGAGACAGATGGAATATTTGAGATACAACCGGATGGACTTCTGTACCACACCGGAGCTCTGGACAGGGAGACGAGAGCAGTTCACAAACTCCAGGTGAATTGAGACCAGAAAGAGTCACCTAACTCCACTTAACTCCTTTCTGAGCTTCCTTTGCCCTGGAAACATCACTGGCACCGTCAGCCCTTGCGTAGAACGCTGTGAGGGCTCTCCTCACGTGAACGGTGTGCTTGGTAAACCTCATTTGTCCATTTTTCACCAGCTACAGAGGGGTATGGCAAAGGTCCCCTCTTCCTTAGACATTTTGACCACAGCAACCCAGTTTGCATTGCCAAGGCCCTCAGGTGGCATTACGCGTTCAAGTAGGGCAGGCTCAGGCACCTGGATCAAAACCGAGCCAACACTTCTGTGGTTTTCACTGGTACCTGCCTGAGTCTGTTGTGTGGGCTCTGGATCCACAAAGAAGGCAGCATCAGTGCTGGGATGGAGCTTCTCTGGACCTTGCAGGAAGCAGAAATAACCAACGGTCAGTTTTGGGGTGTCTGAAGGCGCAGGCACGGTGGAGAGCTAATTGTGGGGGGAAAGAGCAAGCCCAAAGCTTTCTGATTGGAAACTTCTACTAGTGGATCTGCAGGTTGACCATGAAAATGCCTCGGTAAGAGGACATCATGCCCCCTCCATCAGAAATCAGTTTTCATTTAATCAGGAAAGCCTGATCAGAAATCAGGGTCAGAGTGTCCTGATTTCATTGGCTCCAGCTATTTAGGAAAGAAGCGTGTCTAGTGTAGAGGAAACCCCACCACTGGAAAAGCAGTCATGATAATCCAGGTTTAACTCATAGGGCCCCTATCTTGGCTCGGGCTTTTATGGGAATCTTTCACCCCTTGTTTCCAGGTGTTGGTTCTTCGAGCTCTAATTTCCCTCGAGTGACTTTCGTTGTGTAATGTGAAGCCCAGAGCCGCCAAGGCAACTGGTTTCCTTTCCTCTTTCCACCCCAGGTCTCAACCGTGGATTCCCACGGAGCCACGGTGGAGGGCCCGGTCCCCATCACGATAGAAGTGAAGGATATCAATGACAATCGACCCACGTTTCTCCAGTCAAAATATGAAGGCTCGGTCAGACAGAATTCTCGGCCAGGTAATCAGGGCCCGGAGGTCTTTATGGAAAGATGGGGGGCTGCGGGGCAGAAGGGCCGGTTTCTGTGGCCTACAGCTGCAGCGTCACTCATGAAGCACTTACATTCTTATTTAATTTCACAGCAGTCCTCTGGGAGGTGTTTCATTATCTCTGTTGCTCTGGGGCAGGATTTCTCAACCTTGGCACCACTGACATCTTGGGCCTGATAATCCTCTTTTTGGCCAGGTGCTGTTATATGCACTGTGGGATGTTTAGCTGCACCCCTGACATCCACTCACCAGATGCCAGGAGAAATGCTTACCCCTGTTGTGACGCCTCATGTTCCCTGAGGCTCCCCAGTTGAGAACCACTATCCTTGAGTGAGCTTTAGAACACCTTAGAGCTCTGTAACACTTCAGAATACTCTGGAAAGGGGAGCTCACTCTCCCAGGTCCTCCCCGAATCTGACATCCTCGAGGTCACTGTCGGCTCCCATTTCTTCTTCTCTTACTTCCCACCCGAGCTGTGACTCATCCATTCACTATGTGACCCTCCATTTCCACAAAAGCCCATCAAGCTATAGGCGTGTGCCACAGACTTAACTGGGATCTGGGGAGACGAAGGGACATCACATGACACTGCAGGAAATAAACGGAGTATTAGACTTCCCAGTTCTCCAAAAGGTTATTGGCCATTTCTATCAACTCGCTGTCAGGTTTCCTTCTACGCTACTAAATCCTATCTCTCCTTGAATGCCCACTTCCAAAAACTCAGGAAGAGTATTTTTTCCACTTTATTATGTGCAGCAATTTCACTGTCTCTGTCCTTGAAATTTCACACCAAAGACTCTCTAACTCTGCTAAATAAGAGTCTGCTAAATAAGAATCTTCCATGTCTTTCCCTCTCTCTCTTCATCAATAAGATCTTCAGGATTAGTGGTTCTCAAACTTTTTGATCTGAGGGCTCTTGTATTCCCTTAAAAATTATTAAGGACTCTTGTGAACTTTTGGATGTACCCAGTGGTATTATATGTGGGTTCTATCCAGAGGGGTGCTGGTAAATGTTTAATAGCTGTCTCTCTGGGGGGGAAAGCCCCGCTTATAGCACATTCTTACTATGGCCTATTTTAAGTTATCAATGGTGTTAATAATTTGCTCAAAAAACTTCTGGGAATTTAACAGTTGGCTCTCAAGAGCTGGCTTCAGTCCATTACTGGTTATCTCTGTCAATATTGATCATACTAGAAATTAAAACTGAGAAACTTCAAAATATTTATTAATTCATTTAATATAATAAACTTTTAATAAAAATGATATATTCAAAAACAAAAAGAATTATTGAGAAGAATGGCATTGTTTTGATCTTTGCAGACCTTTAATGCCTGAATTAAAAACAGTTGGGTTCTCATGTCTGTTTCTGTACTCGCTCTGTTGCCGTTTGCTGTTTTGGTTGGAGCTTATGAAGAAAAACTTGCCTCACACAGACATGTACTTAGAAAAGGGAGGGTACTGTAATAGCATTTCCAGATAACTATGGGTATTCTTTGATATTCTGCCTAAACTCAACAAGTGATGGCTTCCTAAAGGCTGGTTAAAATGTGGAATCTGAAACCATATCATTGCCTTTTTTGTTTTGTTTTTTTTGTACTCCTTTACACTAAAATACATTAAATTAACTTGTGCTTTGAGTGGGTCTTTTTTTACATGTGCATACATTTAGACTCCATTGACCCTAAAAACAGTCTCAGAGACCCCTAGAGGTCCCTGGACCATACCTCATCCTAGGGAAAGGAAGCAGAATATTTATTTCCCCACTGAAATGAATTATGGCATCTTACCCATTCTGTCTTTGCCTCTTAGAAGGCCAAAGTGGCTATGGTTGGTTTGAGTTTCCATTAATATCTTTTTTTTTTTTTTTCCTGGATCCGTTTTGTTAAATAGGAAAGCCTTTCATGTATGTCAATGCTACAGACCTGGATGATCCAGCCACTCCCAATGGCCAGCTCATTTATCAGATCGTCATGCAGCTTCCCAAGATCAACGACATCATGTACTTTCAGATAAACAACAAAACAGGGGCAATATCACTCACCCTTGAAGGTAAGTCCAGTGATGCACTCATAGGACTGGGTCGGAAAAAGGGATCTAGGTCTGTGCCAGCTTAGATATGTTTCCTTTTCTGTTCTTTCCTACTTTCCATAGGATCTAAGGAATTGGATCCCATGAAGAACCCTTTCTACAGTCTGGTGGTCTCAGTGAAGGACATGGGAGGCCAGACTGAGAATTCCTTCAGTGACAGCACATCTGTGGATATTACAGTGAAGGAGAATATTTGGAAAGCACCAGAACCTGTGGAGATTACAGAAAACTCGACTGAGCCTCACCCCGTCAAAATCACTCAGGTAGTGCCTAGGGATGCCGAGAGCCCACCGGATAAATGTCCTCGCTTTGCAGAAGCCCACCCTCGTGGTCTTCAGGGACACATTTATTATGTACATGTTTACACAGCCTCATTATAAAGCAAACTAAGTAGACAAAGTCTCTGGCCCCAAGTCTCTGGAGTTTACCATCATGGGTAAACTCGGGGGTTCACCAAATTGGGTTCACATCTGAATCTGCCTATCTATATATCCTCTATATCTTTAGAAGAGAACTTCATCTAAGATTCCCAAGGTACCACTGATGTTTGCCGTTCCCCGTAAACAATCTGGGGTATGGCTGCACTAGGGCGGGTTGTGTATGGTGCACACATCATGTGCATACATATGATTTGAATTTTGAAAGGCTGTGTCTTGTGCTTGTGGGGAAATCTCTCTCCAGTAGACTCATCCCCTCATAGACTGAGGAACGTAGACAGGACTGGCCAAGAGTAAGAGCTGAGTAGGCCACCCTTGGAGACCACCCTCCCCGGCTCCAGCTCCTCTGTGTGCCTCTCCTCTTCATTCGCATGCTCTCCTCTCCCACCTCGATGGCTGATGCCCTCACCCTGAGCCCCCTCCTCCCTCAGCGCCTGTAAGATATACTCTGGACTCCACCTAGATCTGATCTTTTCTGGAAAGTCAGGAGTTCCCTTGACATGAAAGCTGCGGGTTAGAGAGAGAGCACTGGATTTGGAAGCAGATGACCAAAACCATGTCCTTGCTCCATTACTTTAATGATTGACCATAGAGTAAGTCATTTAACTGTTCTGAGCCCCAACCTCTCAACAATAAAATGGGACAGTAACGCCTCTGTGGGTTGTTGTGGAGATTAACTAAGAGGTCGTGTCTGTGAGAGTGGATGACAGGTATTAATGTTACGAGTGAGTCCCAGCCTGCAGTTCCCCTAAGAATGTTTCAAAATCACACCGTTGTTGCTGAGGGGCCCTGGAATGGTCCATCCCATATCTATTGTATAACCTAAAAGAATTTTTATTTATTGAATGTTGAATTCACAAACTTCAGCATTAAGGAAAAAAAGATGAAAGCAAGAGTTACTCTGCTTTGCCAGCTGAGAGGGTGTGTCGGGACTCGATACCACGACAGCTGCAGATTTGGGGCCTCGACTCAAGTCTTCCTATTTCGTACTTAGGCTATTCTCATATGGACTTGTAAATGCTAAAAGGGTGCGCGTGCTTGTTTGCTCCGGGGGCTGTCGAGGAAAGTGTGGGCGCGGCCCGCGGTGCGGCCGCTCACGCGTGGGCCTCTCTCACGGGCGCTCTGGGCCGCAGGTGCGGTGGAACGAGCCGGGCGCGCACTACTCCTTAGTCGAAAAGGAGAAGCTGCCGCGGTTCCCGTTTTCAATCGACCAGGAAGGAGACATCTACGTGACCCAGCCCTTGGACAGAGAAGAGAAAGATGCAGTGAGTAGACCTGGGGGGCGTTCCGCAGGCCACGGGCCACGGGCTGGGCTCGGGGAGCTGACAGCAGGAAAGATTTTACTTAAAAACAGTAACAAAAAATGCCACACTGTGTTCTGAACCCCAGTGCGTACATTATTGCTCTCAGACATGGTATCCCCACAAATCCACCCCATTTCCTTTTTTTCTCACTTCGCAATTCTAAGAAGACTGGGAATAGGGGTTAAGTGGCCTAGAGCGGGAACAGCCGACTCCTCTGCCTTTTGAAGGCAGTGGCCGGGCCACGTCTTAACTCCCATCTCCCTGTCGTAGTATGTTTTCTACGCGATTGCCAAGGACGAGCTTGGAAAACCACTCTCGTACCCGCTGCAAGTTCATGTGAAAGTTAAAGACATTAACGACAACCCACCCACGTGCCCGCCGGCAATGCCTGTGTTTGAGGTCCAGGAGAATGAAGGGATAGGTAAGGAAAGGGAGCCGTTGGGCTGGTGACAGCCTCGCCTCTGCTGCCTCTAACCCCTGCCCTCTCTGTCCGGTAGAAGGTGGGCGTAAACCCGAGTGGCCGTCAGGTGTCCATGCCTGGCACCGTATGGGGGCTGAACACACCGTGAGGCTCACACAGGCACAGCCTTCTGGCTCAGTTACTATCCGGGCAGTGTTTGTAAATCGGGGCGTTTGTGACTACCATCGCCACGACTGCCACTGTTACTGCCCCTACTAGTGCTGTTACCGCCGTTACGACCACGGCCACCCTTTCCGCTAGCGCTAACACCGTAACCACTTACACCACTGTCCTGTGCCCGTGTATAAGGTTATCGTTTGCAAGGTTTTTACATAGATTCTTATTTGCCCTCTAACAAACTCAGTCACAGATAAAGCCTCATCAAATTTGCTAAATAATTTAAATCAGCATTTACACCCAAGGTCAGATACTCTGCAAAAAGTAAGCACAATAAATGGAGAGTGACTTTTGGCCCTTGGTGCTCCCTCTCTAGGGAGCTGATGGTAATGGCTCGGAGGCTGGTAGATGAAGTTCAGTCCTGTCTACTTTTGCCCCTTTGTTCCTGACTTGCTTTGTTTTCTTTACTGTGTCTCAGGGTAGCTTTCGTTTTGCGCAGGGACAACTACATTAGGATTTCCGGGAGTTGTGTGACTTCCCTGGATTTGGGGAAACTCTTCTCTTACTCCTTGGCGTTGAGTCCATTGGCTGGGCAGGGTGGCTGCTCAGACATCAAAGGATCCCAGAATTTAGTAAGACCCTCTTTTGATCCAGCTCAGAGATACTTTTTTTAAACAAGGGCAGAGATGCCACAAAGGTCACTTGGTTGTGATGGACTCGGAAACAGCAGCTGCTGCAATACTAAATACATGTTTTTTCTCCGCACTGTTGCTCATGACGCCGTCCTTCCTCAGCCACGAGACACATCTACATGGGCCCAGTTCTATTATAGACGTACTCCAGAAGTNTCTGTTGCTCATGACGCCGCCCTTCCTCAGCCACGAGACACGTCTACATGGGCCCAGTTCTATTATAGACGTACGCCAGAAGTTCCCTCCCCCCAATCAAAGTCCTTCACGTTTCATGTAAGTCAGTAGATGCCAATTGATATGGCAGAGAGGGGAAAACCTAGCTCCACAAATGGGACATATTCAAGTTTAGTCCCACGGTGGGGTCATGGCTGCAGGTAGAGAAACCCAGGATTCCCCTTTCACAGAGCGAGATGGTCCATGACCTATCAGGCCCCACCCAGGCCTGGGGAAGTGCTGAGCCGTAACCTCTGGCTTTTGGAACTCCCCGGGCTGAAACACGCACAGGCGTAAACGCGAAGGGCCATAAACTGCAGCAAGGCAGAGAGGACACCTGTTCTGTGCCCCGTGTTATCTGTGGGGTGGAGTCAGTCTCTGCAATTGTTCCATAATGTTGCTAAGAAGGGACCTGCTGTTGGCTCCCCCTTTTTTAGTTATACCATTTGCCTTGTGTGTTCGTGTCTGAGGGTGGTTGTAGCAAAATACCTCAAAGCTGGTGGCTTAAAACAACAGAAATTTATTCTTTCACAGTCCTGGAGGCCGAAAGTCTCAAATCAAGGTGCCTGCCAGGGGAGAGCTCTCCCCTGCTTTTCCTGGCTTCTGCTGGCTCTTGGCATTCCCTGGCTGCTTGGGGTAGTGTCACTCTCGTCTCTGCCTCCTGCTTCACGTGCCTCCGCCTCTGTGTGTGTGACTTTGTGTCTTCTCTCCTTATAAAAACACTATATCAGCCCAGCCGTTGTGGCTCCGTGGCTGAGCGTCGACCTAAGAACCAGGAGGTCATGGTTCAATTCCCGGTCAGGGCACATGCTGGGTTGTGGGTTCCATCCCCAAGATCCCCAGTAGGGGGCATGCAAGAGGCAGCTGATCGATGATTCTCATCGTGGATGTTTCTATCTACCTCTCCCTTCCTCACTCTGAAATCAATTAAGAAAATATTAAAAACACTAATCCCTAGGTTTAGGACCCACTGTAAATCCAGGATAATTTTATTCAAGACCCCTAACTTGTTGCATCTGCAAAGACCCTATTTCCAAATTAGGTCACAATGAGGTTCTGAGGGAACCTGAGTTTTTGTGGGAGGCTATTTGTTATGGGCTGAACTGTGACTGTCCCAAATTCATATGGTAAAGTCCTCATGCCTAGTACCTCAAAAGGCCACTATTATTTAGAGATAGGGTCTTTAAAGAAATAAAGTTAAGATGCTATCATTCATCCGGGTCTTAATCCAACATGAATTAATGTCGGCATGGCTAAGACTTGGGGACATGAGTCCCACAAGATTCTGGCTAATATAAGACACCAAACAGAAGACTATAAAAATACTGAGGACTAATTTAGTATGTTGTTGAGCTAGACCGTAAGCCCCCCAAAGGGTGGGGGCGTAGTTCTGTGCCCCTTTCCCCTTCCGTGTGTAGAATAGATTCGACACAACACTCCGAATCCACCCCTGACGTGGTGCTCTTCCAAGAAGAGGAAACCTGGACACACACATGCACAGAGGGAAGACCATGTGAAGACACATGGAGAAGACGGCTGTGTGCCAGCCAAGGAGGGAGGTCTCAGAAGAAACCAACCTCGCTGCCCCCCTGACCTCAGGCCTCTCTGTGAGACCCAGAAACTGTGAGAAGGTGCATTTCTGCTGCTAAAGCTACCCGGTGGCACTTCGTGGTGACGACCCTAATCCCACAAATACACCGCCCAACGCGCTGCACCGTGGAGAGGGCTGGAAGGACCAGACCAAGCCTCAGGACTCCCGGCGGCGGCGCGGCGTGGCCTTCAGACCTTCTAGGAGCCCGCGTGTCCCGCGGGACGGCTCTAGCCCGCGCCCCCGGCCCCTAACGGCTGCCCTCTCCCCCTCCTTCCTCACAGTGAGCGGCATTGGGAACTTTATCGCCCACGACATGGACGAGGCGAACACGGTGAACAGCGTTTTGCGCTACAGGATTTTGGACCAGACCCCGAAGCTGCCCCAGGACGGGCTCTTCCTGATCCAGACCTACTCGGGGCTGCTGCAGCTGGCGCGCCAGGCCCTGCGGAAGCGCGACGCGCCCCAGTACAACCTGACGGTGGAGGCGGCCGACAAGGGTGAGGGAGTGAGGCTCCAGGCCGGCCTGGCGCTCGGGCCTCTCAGCTGGGCCGGCCGGCGTCCCCGTGCCGGGCGTGTCCCAGGAGGATGCTCACGTGCGACGCAGGGCGGCTGGTCCAGCTTACGGCTCAGGCAACATTCCCGTGTTGGTCCCGGTCCCCCAAGAAGCAGGTGCCAAAGGGGACTAACTGTGCCAGCCCCTCCCCTGCTTGGAGCGAAGGGAGCAGCACCCTGCCCCTTCCCACGGCGGGCAGCGGGGAGACGTGGGGCAGTAAGCGCTGGCGTGCTCAGAGGAGGGTTTCTGGAAGGGTGGTTTTGCTCTGGGCCTTGAAGGCTACGGAACTTGCGGTAGTTAGAAAAGAGAGGCTGCTTCACGGGAAAGGAAGGCCTGCTGGAGAACAAGCCTTCCCCTGGACGGGCAGGCCGAGGGGGGTGGGAAGCCCAGGTGAACCCCTTTTAGGGCCTTCTTCAGCCTCCCCGCGGTGACCCTGCTTGTGGGGGCAGGTGGGGAGCAGAGAATCCCGGCTCCACATCAGCGGCATGTCAGTAGCAGAACCGTGACTGTGGCTCTCACTTCACTAGCCAATGTTTTCCTCGCAGGTTTCTGATTTTAATGCACGATTTTTCAGTGAAAAAGTTTTGTGCTATGACTTTGATTTTCAGATTTCAAGACCCTCTGTCCAGTGCAAATCAACGTTATTGACATCAATGACCAGATTCCCATCTTTGAGAAGCAGGATGTGAGTAGTGGTCACCCGTTGTTTTTTCTTTCGTTCGTCCATGCGACTTGAGCCCTCCTTCTGGAATAGAGACAGACAGTAGTTAGAGAAAATGCCAGACTTCACAGGTAGCCTTGGCCAGCACATTGGTAACACACCCCTGCGTTGGACAGGGGGTGAAGCTGGACTTACGGACGTTAGGTAACTTGCTTCGGCTCAGCCTGCTAATACGTGGCAAGCCTAGGATTCCTACCAAGGCTGTTTGACTCCAAAGGTCAGGCTCTTAACCACTTCTCCTTGGTAGATTATGGACTAATTAAAATAATGCATATAGAGTACCTGCCACATTATAAGTACTCAATATATAGTATTTATTTATATCCTCGCTAACATAATAATTACGGTTATTAAATGTACTGGGTGTGGGAGTGGGAATCTGTTTTAGAATCCCACCAGCAGGTGTCTGAGACGTTGTGGTTCTTGGTACGCTGGATATCAGTCTATGAGTCTGACTGATGTCAAAATCGACTGCAACGTATTTATTAATAAGAGAAAACATGCTTGGTGAGTACTGATGCAAACTATGACCTGTGTCCATTCCAAAGATAGAGAGACAAGTTGGCCCTTTGACAATTAATTATTCCTGATGACAATGCACATTCTTACTGTTTCCTTCTCAGTATGGAAACCTAACTCTTGCGGAAGACACAGCCGTTGGAACCACCATCTTAATCATCCAGGCCACGGACGCTGATGAGCCATTTACTGGGAGTTCTAAGATCCTGTATCGAATTACAGAGGGAGACAGTGAGGGGCTCCTGGGGATTGACACAGATCCCCAAACCAATGCGGGATATGTCATAATTAAGAAGGTAAATGGCCCTTTAGTGGAATTTGTCTTCCCCATTGATTAATTTACTTGTGACTGTGCAAGGACCGATCAGCAGCGGTGATGTATTAGCAGTGACCTCTCAGGCATGGTGATGGACGCCTGGAGGACTCTCAAAGGCCAGGAATCTAGCTCTGGGACTGTCATTACCTGACCAAGGGAGCTTTGTGGATGGAGGGAGGGAGGGCTGCCATATAAACTCCATAAAATACACGATTAACAATTTTTGGTATATGTTTGTCCCATGTAATATTTGGAACATACTTATACTGAAAAATTCTTTGTTGTTTATCTGAAATTCAAATTTAACGAGGTGTCCTAGGTTTTCACTTGCTGAGTCTGGGTGGTGGGAGTGTGTGCTTAGGGCTTTACTTCTCCCGTTGCAAATGTGGGGTGTTGGACTAGATGAACCCCATGAGCCATTTAGGCTATCGGCCTTCTAAAGTGCCAGCCAGGACTCCTACTTTGAAGTTTTTTACACATTTTGTGTATTAACCCCTCACCAAATCTATGGCTTGCAAATATTTTCCCATTCTGTGCTGCCTTCTCACACCGCTGATTCTCTCCTTGGTCGTGCAGGAGTTTTCTAGTTTGATACGGTCCTGCTCTTGTATTTTTGCTTCTGCTGCCTTGCTTGTCGTATTACGTCCAGAAACAAAGCCTCTTCATCACAATTCTATCGGCAACTGTTCATCTAAATTACAGATGTGCTCATTGTAGGTAAAATTCTCACTGCAGCTCCATTTACTTTCCTATTTACTTTCGGACGCTCTGACCACTGAGCCAAACCAGCTAAGGCACGACCTGTTTTTTAACCAGCCCCAGTGTTGCCTGGAAAACTAATACACACACTTTTTTCTCATTACCCATCATTGGTAAAAATGTTAAATATCCCCCATTGCCACTCCTCTCCCTCAGCACTTCTATCTCTGCCTTCGGGTTGAATCTAAATCACCAGGTTTGGCCTTTCAGACGACTGTGTGCAGAACAGGAACTGTGGTGGGAGCATATTTTTTCAGCTGACTTGGTGACTGTGTCTCCTAGATGGATCCGAGGCCGTCCCGAGAGGCCGCGATGGGCCTCTGGACTTGGCTCTGCAGGCATATCCCTGTGTTATGAAAGATGATACACATGGTGTGACAAGGCTTGTCCTTGATCAAGCTCTGCTGAGTATCATTAGCTAATTTGGTATCTTTCACTTCTAATTTTTTCCCCCTGGAAGATTTGGCTCCATGTTTTTCCTGGTGTGAAAGTTAGGCGGGCTGATCAATGCCGGGCTGCTCCTGGTTTCCTTGGTTCTTCCATTCGATCAGGTTAAAGGGGCACTGACACCTTTCCACTCTTCAGACTTAGGATATTTTTTCCCCTTAGATTCATGGACCCTGTGCCTTGAGGGAGACCTTAAAAGGCCCATAGAACCAACTGCTTAAATGACATGCAAGTCTTCTCTGCACTGGCCTGTCACATGTTGCTTAAGCCCATTCTTGAAACCTTCCAGAGCTGAGAACTTACTGATTCTGAAGCAGCTCTTTCTGTCTCGGGTAGCCCTAATGTAGCCCTAACTGTAGTGTTAAGTATTAAATTCTTCCTTCCACTAAACCAAAACTGGCTTCTTGATTTTCCATTTCTGGCCTGTCTGGAATGTCCTGGCACAAGAGCGGGTCCTCTCTCTTTTGATCATCTCTTCTCACCTCTTCCGCCCTCCATGAGTCTAAGGACTTTTATTTTGGGGTTTGGATCCTGAGGTCCCTCTCAAGTCATTCTCCATATAATGTGGAAATCTCCACATAAGCATTTTCCACACAGTCTCCTGGGAACTCTCTTGAGAGAACCAATAAGTTTCTGCTGAATGACTGAATGAACTGTCTCGGGGTTAAATAAATTTGAGGAGTGCTGCATTGATTTGCTCTTCTAGGAGAGTCCAAATGCATATTAGCACATTAAAGGCTCTGCTAAGTCCTGCGGCACAGACTTTTCACGACTCCACTATCATTCTGAGAAGCAGGTGTTGCTGGCACTGACTCGAGAATTGCCGCTCTGTCCGAGTTTTTAAAGGAGAAGAGGGAATGACTCTTTGAAGGGAGCTAGTCATCCCTGAATTAATTTTCTCTATTTTTTGCCCTCCACAGCCTCTTGATTTTGAAAGAACGGCCATTCACAACATCGTGTTCCAAGCGGAAAATCCTGAGCCTCTGGTGCCTGGTGTACAGTACAACGCCAGCTCCTTTGCCACATTCAATCTTTTTGTAACAGATGTGAATGAAGCACCTAAATTTTTCCAACACATATTCCAAGCAAAAGTCAGTGAAGATGTGCCTGTACGCACTAGAGTGGGCAATGTGACCGCCAGGGACCCAGAAGGTCTGGACGTAAGGTAGAGAGCTGGGCCGGGCAAGCCTGGCTGGCTGAGACCAAGGCCGGTGGGAAGGAGGAAGGCCTGGGAGGGGCAGGGGAGCTGGTCTGACTCCCAGGCTCTCTCCCAAGGGAGCCCCCAGCGATTTGAAGCCATATCCAGTGCACATGGTGAACTTGACCTTGCTTGCCAGAAAAGTTTAACCTTTAAAAGACGACATTTAAATTCCCGTAGTGGGGTCTCCCGGCCAGAGCTTTTTTGGGCATTTAAATTCAGCTCTGCAGGCATTTACTTTTTTGCCTCTATCTTATCTATTTTTTGAGTTATTTATGAAAAGTAAAAACATTTATAAAGAAAATGTATTGTTTATTATTAAAGTTATCTTTTA